TAATATGTTGAACCATGCCCCTGCACTATATGGCTGCAACACACCCCTGCACTATATGGCTGCAACACACCCCTGCACTATATGGCTGCAACACACCCCTGCACTATATGGCTGCAACACACCCCTGCACTATATGGCTGCAACACACCCCTGCACTATATGGCTGCAACACACCCCTGCACTATATGGCTGCAACACACCCCTGCACTATATGGCTGCAACACACCCCTGCACTATATGGCTGCAACACACCCCTGCACTATATGGCTGCAACACACCCCTGCACTATATGGCTGCAACACACCCCTGCACTATATGGCTGCAACACACCCCTGCACTATATGGCTGCAACACACCCCTGCACTATATGGCTGCAACACACCCCTGCACTATATGGCTGCAACACACCCCTGCACTATATGGCTGCAACACACCCCTGCACTATATGGCTGCAACACACTGCGTTACACAGCTGCAACACACTGCGTTACACAGCTGCAACACACTGCGTTACACAGCTGCAACACACTGCGTTACACAGCTGCAACACACTGCGTTACACAGCTGCAACACACTGCGTTACACAGCTGCAACACACTGCGTTACACAGCTGCAACACACTGCGTTACACAGCTGCAACACACTGCGTTACACAGCTGCAACACACTGCGTTACACAGCTGCAACACACTGCGTTACACAGCTGCAACACACTGCGTTACACAGCTGCAACACACTGCGTTACACAGCTGCAACACACTGCGTTACACAGCTGCAACACACTGCGTTACACAGCTGCAACACACTGCGTTACACAGCTGCAACACACTGCGTTACACAGCTGCAACACACTGCGTTACACAGCTGCAACACACTGCGTTACACAGCTGCAACACACTGCGTTACACAGCTGCAACACACTGCGTTACACAGCTGCAACACACTGCGTTACACAGCTGCAACACACTGCGTTACACAGCTGCAACACACTGCGTTACACAGCTGCAACACACTGCGTTACACGGCTGCAACACACTGCGTTACACGGCTGCAACACACTGCGTTACACGGCTGCAGCACACTGCGTTATACGGCTGCAGCACACTGCGTTATACAGCTGCAGCACACTGCACTATATGACCACAACACACTACACTGCGTTATACAGCTGCAGCACACTGCACTATATGACCACAACACACTACACTGCGTTATATGGCTGCAGCACACTGCACTATATGACTACAACACACTACACTGCGTGACTGCAACACACTGCGCTATGTGACTGCAACACACTGCG